TGGCCCAGATGTCACCTTTAAGCTATTCAGCATTACAAGTTTATGAAGAGAAGACTGTTCACAGGTCGAGTTAGGTGTTGAGCATTGACACAATGGTGACTCCACCAATTTAAATGAAGAAGGTACTTAAAGACTTGGAGGGACGTACGACTCCAATGTATTTGTTAATAACAGTAAATATTGTGAACAAAGTAACAATTAAAACTTTCATATCATTGAAAGTTTAATTTCCAAGTAACACTTATTTATTAATCTCTAATTTTATATACTCGTATAAACAACTTTAAGAAAGTTTTTTAGTTATGAATGAAGCGAGTTTCGCCGTACCTTAATCAGTCAGGCACTGATCTCTCTTGTTGTGTTCAGAGCTTAATGATACTGTCTGCTGAGCCAGAGTGAGTTTGAATACTACGATAAATAATAGGGCGTAACCAAGAAGACTTACCATCAGGTGACCACCCGATGGTAAGTGAGTACCGCCGGCCATCGACACTTACAACTCAAGAAACAAAAATGAGTTTGAGAGCAACCCACTCCTTCAGAGGCTTGAAGGGGTGTTAGACCTCCAGTAATCGTGCACACTAAGTTAATAGTAACGAATTTCTAAACTCCAGTTTTCTGCGAGAGAAACAGAGACCCTAGTGGGAGTTTATTTTACATCTACTTGATCGTCACGGTGAGCGCGTTCGGAGTTGCTGAACTCTACACTAGACATAGGACAAAATCACAGTAAACTGTGATTTATCATTCAATTTTTGCGTGCGTAGGTCAGGGTTGCTAGGTAGGTAGGTAGGTAAGTTAGACGCTATTTAACAGTAAACCTAGTATTTCTAAATTATTATGTGGGGACTGGTAGCTACATATATAATAAAATAATTACTAGATTTACTGTTAAATAGGGTCTTTATGCATCAAACAAAGGAAATGCGTCAACCCAGTATTCTTAAGGCCGTGGCATCATTCCATTCGAGCCAGCCCTTTTGCGACAAATCATGATTCTTTCATGTCATGCATGAGTTTGTGCCACAGCTTCTTCCGCTGAGAAGAACCGTCCCCGGTTTCTAGTGTTTTAGCTGTAAAACACTAAAAATTTGGGGACGGTATGGGCGTTTTGAGGACTATCTTTTGAATAAATTACTTTTGGTTTCGATTTATTTAGAATTAGAACCGATTAAGGGAGCAAACTACGTAACACAATAACACTACAAAGAGAAGTAAAACTTGACACAAACCCTATACCAACCCGTCTGGCCAGCTCCTTTCTAAGGAGAGGCCTCTGCTTAGTGTAAGATCAGACGTTTAGTTAGTATTGCTAGGTATATTAAAAATAACTTCTAATATTAGTATACTAACTAAAACATTATTTTTTGCTAGTAATAACAAGGTACGATTATAACCTAGAATCGTTAATAACCTCGACTCACAGTCACGTTATGCAATATTAACGAATGTTAAAAAAGTTATACAAATTTAAAGGTTACTTACTAAACTAGAAGGAAATTATATAAAAAATAGGTTTTGAATTTGAAGTATACTTTTATATGTCCGTATCCGTATTTAAAAAAACTCCATATTACATTTTTTTTTAAAAGGCTCGATTATCCATTTTCGAGATTTTTTATATGTAACCTGATCCTGACTCCATGGATGGCTGGATACCCTGCCTTCCCAGGACATATAATTTTGGTATCTTAGGTTATTTATATGTCTCGGGGGGACCTGAAATAACATGGTCCGGGTCCTCCTCGGAGTAGGGCGCCTGAGTCCGGCCCACGGGGGCGGTTTTTAGTGGAAACATCATATACTCCTGGCTCCTACAGCCCCACGGAGCCGGAGATCTGAAGGGATTTTCCACCCCGTCAACGAAAAGGTTATTTATATGTCTAAATGGACAGTCAAAGCTTGAAAGCAGGAAAAAAAATTGCGTCCAACGTTTGGCCTCTAATTGATTTTCCTGCGTGTAGTATCAGAAGTACTTTTTTTAAATGGGACTAATCCCACCCACACGCCACCACTGTAACTCCTGTACACCAGGATCCACAGCAGTGACCCACGAACACACCAAGTTATGACACTCGGGAAGTCCCAGGAAGAAATTAAACTGTCTTGGAACCCGCAACGAAATTAATCAGAAGAAAATTGGAGGAGTTGGAAATACAGTAAATCCACTTCCCTCCTTAGCAAAGCGGGAGACAAAATGAAGTAAAATAGGCATACACCCTTTTAAACAGGGAAGCACCACGGCCACAAAATATTACGGGTCCTACGTGAGCTATATTTGATTAAGTATCAGTATATCAGAAGTACTGTCATTATTTGTTGTATTAATTTGAAAGTGAATACTTTTGTGATTAGTATATGATTTTTGGTAGGCATCTAATTCATGGATAACTCCGATGGTGCAGTGATACCCGTAGCGTATGCGACTGCTGTATATATGTAATCTCTGCTTAGCTTAGTGACGTGTGTAAAAAGAATGTCACGTGTTGATCAAGACGTGTAGGAACATTTAATTATTATCAACGCATTTTAATATTATTGTTTTTGTTCTTAGAGTATATTTTTCTAGGTTAAAAATAGATTGAACATTTATATTTCTGCCAATTTTGTTCGTTATTGTATTCTTTATTTCTCATAATACAGATTACATACATATTTAAATATCATCACAAGTACATCATTTTTTTTTAATGTGACTTATTTTTAGTATTCTGGGTGGGTAGTTGCATTCCACAAGGCAATAGCATTAAGGATATACGCGATGGATGTTTTTAAAGAACTTGGCTCACAAAAATTTATTTACAGTCTGACCATGACATGAATTTAAAATATATTTTCTAATAATTCGTGAAGTGCCTTATAAGGAACATTAATTTGCTGCAAATATTCTGTAACGATTGAATAGTAGATGTTGCACATTTGACTGTGAACTTAGACGTCAGAAATATATATCAAAATATGTTTGTTTATGGAATGGAATACCGGAAAGAAGCTTTGTTAAATTACAAAGTTAAAAAAAAGTGAATGAACAATTATCGCGTGGAAACATCAAACAAAAAAAGAAATAATAATCCACGTACCTATAAGAATGCTTTTTCATACCACCTAAAGGGATAGGTACCTAAAGGGCATTTAAAAGATAAACATTTAGTGAAACTTAATAATTTTGAAAATACTTTACACCATTAAATAGGTACTAATAAAAAATGAACTTTCATAGACATCAAGAACTAGTCTCTCAATTAATAACATACTAATAAAATGCACGAATGACGTAGTGGTATAAGCGGTCGCCACGCCGCTTCCTACTGTGCCGAGTGTTGTGGTTTCAAACCCCACATGGGACGACACTTTGTGTGATCCACAAATTGTTGTTCTGAGTGTAGGTGTTCTTTGTGTCCGTTTCATGTATGTTTGTAAAGTCCCCCGCGACACAGGATACATTCCTAGTGCGGGTTGTCTTTAAAAAAAACAAAAACAAGTAAAATGCCAACTAAATGTATGGCAAAAGAGTGAAATCTGTTTCACATCAACAGCCTATGATAGTCCACTGCTGGAGATAAGCCTCTCCTCTGAAAGGAGGTTTTGGCCTACTATACCACGCTGGCCAGACGGGTTGGTATAGGGATTTTTTCAAGTTTTCCTTCTCTTTGCAGTGCTGTTGTCTTGCGTAGTTTTCTCCCTTAGTCGACTTTTTCGACGCCCACGGGATGAATAGGGGTGGTGACATTACGTATCCTTAATCCGTCACCACACGTATGTTTAATGTTAAGAAAGTTCTATGAAAAATATAACATGTAAAGAAAACCTTAGTCTCGCAAGAAGCGACGCAGTTCTTCTTGTAATATCTTTTGTTACTTAATGTGTTAACTAATAATAATACTTTAGGGTGATAATGTGAATATTTGATATTTTTTAAATAAGTTGAGTAGATAAGACATAAGAATAACCTACTATTTTAAATAGTCCTAAAACATAGCGTTACACAGAAATTGCCGTGTATGATTATTAAATCTTTGTAAAAGAACAAACACTAATTATTTAATTTAAAGATTGTGTGTGTGTTTTATAAGTGGGTCTCTACCCGCAACTAAGTAAAGGTAAGTTCGAAATAAATCTAGTTGCCGAACTCATCATCTGCATACCCTTATCCCAATTTTATTTGGGGTCGGCGCAGTAAGTAGGATTCTTCCATTCTACTCTATTATGCGTCATCTCACTATTTACTCCCTTCCTAGCCATATCCTCACTCACACAGTCCATCCACCTTTTCTTTGGTCTTCCTCTTCTCTTGTGCCCTTCAACTCCCATACCTAAACCTTTCTTCGCCACATTTTAAAATAAATCTAGTTTCCCTACTAATACCTGAAAATTCAGGATTTGTTCGGTTAAACATTTCATAATTAGCTTTGAAAATCGGGTGTACCTCAGTTTTTGTTTCGAAGAAATCAAGCTAAGACAATTTTTGAGTTGTCGGGGATACTTTTGTGCCTAAAGATGAAAGTTCTTTGAGATAATGTACGTTTATGTAGGATAAAAGTAATTTAATTTTTATAACATGAGATTGTGTTCCATTTTAGATATCATATGTATAATAGTTTAAAACAAAACAATGAATACAATAGTAAACTGTTTCATGCCTTTTCTTATTATCGAGGTCAGGAGTGACAGTGAAACAATGCGAATAAGCTGTTTAAAATGCACATTAAAACAAACTTTATAAAGCTTATAAAGCTAATTTCAACAGAGATCGCCCATCAATACAAGTTCTGCTTGTGTTTAAACCTTTAGAATAACGCAAGGACACATACCGGACTGTCCAATCGGACACTGTAGCACTTGATGGAATATAACGGTTACACCACAAATGTGCCGAGTCAACGGCACAAGTACTAGTCAGCTTACAATTAACACGACACAAACAAAAACTGATAAAACACTAAAAAAAAATACAACTAAAAACTTAAATTTACAACTAGATACAATAGTCTTAATATTTACTAAAAAATACGATAAAAATGTACGAGACATTCACCTGTGGGAGGCGCGCGCGCACTGGCCGCCAAGCGCGGCAAACGGCCGGCTACAGAACCCGTTTCGTAGAAAAAAATACTCCTTCCCGCCTCCGCCGCCGTCATAGCGACCCTTTGCATATTTCCCTGTTCACTATTTATCATTGCACCGTGAGAGGGAATCTCTTGTAGCCTCTCCGGAACGAGTTGTGCATCTTGGGTTTCGGCTCGGTGACCTGTGACGGTCGCTTTACTCCGAGATTCTGCCAAAGCTGGATTAGGCACACTACTTACTATTCCGTTCAGATTTCTCGGTACCGCAATAGGTATTTTACCGTAGACAGGTTTGTTTGTATAATTTTTTGGAGTATCTATATTAGACGAGTTAGCAAAAGCGTTAACTTTTAATATATCGTTTGCTTGCTGAAGTAGTCGTCTCTGTATAGTTTCTATCTCTGTTCTTGACGCTCTAGAGTTTTCCGAAAGCTCAGCTATTAGTTGATTGACGTTGAATTCAGCCATTATGTTGGTGTCTTGTGATGTCGAGGCTTCGGTTTCTCTAACATTATCTTTAATGTTATCTGATTTCTTCGCTTTGACCTTCATGTCTCGGCTATCGGGTGGAGTGACTACTATAGTTGGTATCTGTTCTTTTGAAGTAGATTCTTTTCTACCACGTTTAACTTTCTTAACAATTCTGCTTGCCATTACATTGTTAGTGTCTTAATGTTGATTGCTTGAAGATAAACAGTTATTTTTTTGTTCATTTTGTACTTGGTCTTGAAGTTCAATGGTTTAATTTGCCTATAAAAAGATTTAAGTAAGATTGGGTCTGGAATTTTATTGAGGTTTCTGATTAGCTTTTTTGTGTTGGTATGTTAATTCAAAATTGACTAGTTTTTGGCCTATCTATAACATTGATTTTAAAAGTAAAAATTTACTCAATGAAATTGGCCTAAATATGAGTAATTATTTTTTTAGACATTCTAAAAAATGAAATTACTCCAGGAAAACTCCATTAAACCAGGAAAAAGAGTTCGCAGAGTTTGATGGATCCATTCTAGTATATTTGGTTCACAATCATTTCGTTAAATATTATGCTAATTTAATTTCAAATAGTGCATTTACAACAGTATTAATTTTTAGTTTTTTTTCAACATATTTTTATACTTATATAAAACTTAATAAACAAATAAAAAGTTAGAAAAACTTGCTAAAATTTCGCGGTTTATTCTCTATACTATGGCCAGATGTGTACTAAAAGAAAGCCACTAAATCAAATCAAATCAAAGTTTATTTGCTATGAAGGTACATCAAATTAGGCCTTCCTCTATCACACCTTATTTATTGCAGCTTTTTACTCAACTGTAATATATCCAAATAATTATTATAAACGCAAAAGTAAGTGAGTTTGTTTTTTATACTTTCACTCCTTAGTCACTCAACCGGTCGTCATTAAATTTTAGAAGCACAGAAGGGTGTGTTTAATTTAAAAAAAAACTGTTCCCGGGCGTAAAGAGAACATTGATGTGAGCATAACCGCAGTTACATGCTAGTATTTAATGATAGAACACTTCTTGTAAATAATGATCTGTACGATACGATACGATCCGATCGGTACGATAAAACGATATGTATCTGAGGAACGGCTATTAAGTTTTGGATAAAGTTTTGTATTTAAATAAGGTTTCGATTTTGAAAGTTTATCTATATCATCATCATCAACAGCCCTTAACAGTCCACTGCTGGACATAGGCCTCTCCCTACAATGGAGGTTTTGGCCTACTATACCACGCTGGCCAGACGGGTTGGTATAGGGTTTGCTTCAAGTTTTCCTACTCTTTGCACTGCTGTTGTTTGCACAATTTGCTCCCTTAGTCGGCTCTTACTACACCCATGGGATGAATAGGGGTGGTGACACTCTGTATTCTTAATCCGTGTGTTTGTACCGGGTAATCTAAAACGGCTAGACCGATTTTGATAATATTTTGCTATCACGTAGCTGTCTATATAAGGAGTAACTAGGAGTAATTTTTCCTCACAGAAAAACCCTTTAAAAAATTTCCCGGTCCGGGCATCGAGCTCATTAAGGCAGTGCTGCCCGGATACTAAGTTATTTAGTTAAGTTATTAGTAATTTATATATGTACATATTAAAGATAACAGCAACAAAATTGAGTAATAACTCATTATTTAACATTGTACTTACGACTTTCTTTGTTAAATTTCAGGGTTCAATTTAAATCGTCATTTATAAATGGAAATAAGGCTTTCCTTAATCTTACGTCATTCTTTCAATTCTATTTCATTCTTCAATACTAGTAAGTAATTTTAAACCAACGTGTTGTGACTCGTTAGCTCAGCAGGTTAGAGCGCCGTCATTAGAAACTATCAAGTACCTTAACGGAGGGCGGAGGTTCAAATCCTTCACGAGTCAGGAAATTGTTTTTGAAGTTCAATTTAATTAAGTTTATAACTGTACTAGCCTTAACCGCGGTTTCGCTCAGGACAAGTATTCTAGACTATTTTCTAACTCTGTTCCAATATCCCGATAGATTCAAAGATTCACTTTGCGGCAATATTTCTTATTACGTATACAACAGCTCATCTCTTGTTTTACCCCCTTAAAGGTGTAAAGTTTCTGAAAATCCTTACGCGTGTGCTTACAACTCGTTCGAGGTCGTGGGTTCGATTCCTACACAGGACAAATAATCGTGTGATAAGCAAGATGATTTATTCTGTGTCTGGGTGTAATTTATCTATGGTATGCATGTATTTAGAAAAAATATAAGTGTGTTTATCAGCAGTCTGGTTACCGGATACCGGATAGCACAGGCTCTGCCTATTTCTGGACCAGGCGGCCGTGTGTGAGATGTGTGAAATTATTATTATTAATATTTATTATATTAAATATCCATTATAATAATCGCAAGTAGATGAATCGTAAGATAGAAGATTTTTCTCAGATAGAGAGATTTTGCCTATGCATTTACTAAGATTTTTCTTCAAACACGAACTGAAGAGACTAACAATAATAACCCACACATACACACACTAAATTTACACTCACAACTATTCAGTTTTACTTATAAAGGATTTATAAAGAAACATAAAAACACGACATTGAACTAAATTTACTACCGTAAGGAAACAAGCCGCAAATTTATTTAGCCTTTAAATAAACAACATTTAATTTTCTATTTACAAATGGCTCATGGCCTAATTTTATTTATTACTGTCTAGTACATAAGCTAGTTGTAGAGTGATATACCCAGCTACGATTTTTTAGAAACGGGGCAGAAGATTAATAATAGTGCCCCCTCTCCAGCGTTTGTGGTAAATAACTTCAAAAAACTCAAAAATATAATTATAATGGTTGGCAAATTTTGTGATTGGGACATAAAAATATATCTGTTCTTATAACGACCGGATAGCGCAGTGGTTTGTGTAACGGACTGCTATTCCAAAGGTTGCGGGTTCGATTCCCGCTCAAGTCAAACATTTGTGTACATGACGTTTAATGTTTGATTTGGTTTGGGTGTTTCTTTGATTTATATATATAATATGTTTGTATTTACAAAGAAAAAAGTATATATGTATTCATATCAGTTGTCTAGTAGCAATAGTACAAGCTCTGCTTAGTTTGGGACTAGATGGCGTTGTGTGAATGTAGTACAATATTAGATATTTTATATTTAAAGAAGCTTTTAAAAAAAAATGCATTTATAGATACAGGGCTGGATATAACTTACTCAAAGAATGCTCTATTCAATACGAAAAAAGCACGATTCATAACTTTTTGATAGTTTCAGATATAGTCATATTTAAACAAGTTAACAACTGTACTGTAAAAAGAATTTTAATACTTTTATATTAGTTTTAATGTACTAACGAAATACCCTTTCAGGTTTTCCTTTTTGTAAATCTGTAAAGCCTTAGTTACTTCCAAATTACGTAATCTTTTCCTACTGTTATACCTATGGGAAGTTTTCCACACCATTTCCTATATGTCAGGTTGATTTACGCATTGTTTCACGCCTCACAACCAATTTATCTATACAAGTCTATTTTATGCATGGGAATTAGAATTGTGTCACACACCTCTCTGTAGTGTAGTTTATAGTGGGAAAATACAAATAAATACATAAGTTTTTGTTGTATTTATAATTGTTATAGAATGACTTTTTTTTTTATTGAACATAGGAAACTGAGGAATTTTACAACACTTAAGTCTTTTAAGTTATGAGTCTTACAAAATTTCAACGTAAACCAAACTTTCATCTACATGTCTAAAGCAAATGAGTTGCCAATAGTTGGAAAGAATATGGTGCCCTTGTCCACCTAACATACAATCACTGATATCTTTTATCCCCGAAGGGATAGGCAGGGGCGTATTTAAGTGCCGCGGGAAGTAATGTAAAACGGACAGACCGCAGATATCCGAGAAGAAACATTTTTGGATATCTGCGGACATTAATGTGGATACGTAAACTCAGGACAAACCTGGTCTTATTAATATATAATGTTTTATAAGTAGTGTCACATATGTGTGACTTTAATTGTAAAATTTTAACTGTAATCTGTATTGAATCGATTTACAACCGTAACTAAAGTTATTAAAGAAATATTGCGGGATAGTCTTGAGTGAATGTTATATGAATGCTATAAACTCATCTGCGCATAAATGAATTAAATGTTTTATGTGATGACAAATAAATTAACGGGGTATATAACAATTTAATTGAATGTTCTTAACTGTTGTTTCTGAATGTTTAAGCCAATTCCTCAAAAATTAGGGGGGTGTAGGTCTTTGGTTTCCCCGGCTTCCTGTTACACATTTCCGTCCCTTTCTACGATTGCAAAGATTATTATTAAATTAATCTTAGAAAAATAACTGGCCTGCAAATCTCTGACACATTGACTCTTGAAAAACCAGGATAAAATATTAAAAAATACTTCGTATTTGTCAATGTTAAAACGATGTTTCACAATGATACTGTTTGAGTATTACTCCACACTCCAAAATAATTTATAGTTGTTACACGACTATTGCAGTTAAACCTAAACAGTCTCAATAAACGTTTCATATTGTAGGCGTAATGTATACGTAATATCCATTGGTTTCTTGTGCTTATTTTGGGCATATACAGTACTTGGTATACGTGATCCTTGATGATTCACTACATTTGCAATGTTAGTGCAATGACACCCACATTACAATACATTTCTGCTAAAGCTTCAGAATGAACTTGCCATTAGACCTCCACAATCCTGGGCGAAATCGAAGTTCTGTAGATAGACCCTTGTCCATTTTTTAAAGCTCCAACTATCCGTAAAGATTACCTATGATCAACGGCTTAACGTGCTCTCTGAGGCACGGTCACCCATCCAAAGACTAACCTAGCTAGTATTGTAACTTTGTAATATGCTAACATATTTGGTTACCACTTAGCCACGAGCCCATTCAAAATATTTTACAAATAGTAGAGCACTTAAAAAACAACGAAGGAGCTTTATAATATTGCATGTGAAATGTTACATCTGACGTTTCCCCACTATCTGATGGCTAGCTATAGCACTGTGTGCGATCATTGGTCAATTAAAATGGCTACCTGTTACATAGTTCCGTCCCAGATTGTAAACATCAATAAATGTGGCAGTACGGCCAAACTGAAAAGTAATGAGACAGTCGAAAGATTCTTTATCGCC